AGGACACCAGTCCATCACAGGACACACACAGACACACACTCTCACACACACCCTGGGCAGGACACCAGTCCATCACAGGACACACACAGACACACACTCTCACACACCCTGGACAGGACACCAGTCCATCACACGACACACACAGACACACACTCTCACACACCCTGGACAGGACACCAGTCCATCACAGGACACCCACATTAACATATCAGCACGCTTGAACACGGAGAGAGCATGCAAACTCTACACAGATAGCACCCCAGGTGCAGAATCGAACCCGGGGCCCCGGCACCATGTTAGCCATGCACCGCCATGCCAGCCCCAGTCAAAACCAACCCTTCCAATCCAGGGAAAAAGAGGTCTGTTCCCAGTCGGCTTCTGTAGAGCCGAAGCTCCACCCAGCCGCAAAACTGGAATAACCACACCGCCGCCGACGGGCCCCAGAAGCGAGTTCCTTCTCCCCACGCCGGGATTTGTTTTTGTTTTGTTTTTTAAACCCTTCCGAGCCCGACGTGAGGGCGACGGGTCTGTCCGCCACCGCGAAAAGACACGGGCCTCTGCCAGCAGGGGTTACTCACCCGACAGGGGGCACGCGCATGGCACCCAGCCCTGCCGCCCCGAGGGAGGGAGGGAGGGAGGGAGGACGGCTGTGGCGGCAGACTTACTCTTCAGCTTCTTCTGAATGTGGCTGGCACTCATCTTGATCTCGTCCCTCAGCGCCTGCAGGTCTCGCTTCATACCTGAGGGGAGACAACCCAGATCAACAGGGGTCAGGGGTGAGGACAGGACGGGCGGGACCCCCCCCTCCTGAAACCTTCACTTCCGCTACGGCCATATCCATGCGACACAACACGGGGCACAAAAAGGACGAGACTCAAACCCATATCGGGATCTGGAACCCTGTCCTTAGGCAGCATGCAGGGTCTGATGTAGACACTGGTGCAGGCGGCTCATAGTCCACAGAGTGGGGGGAAAAATGGTCAGTTCAACAAGCTTCGTTTTAACAGCCCGTTATCCCATCACCCGATGACAGCGTCTTTGAAACCACTCCATAAGACAGGACTATTACTTTGCAACGCGAAGCTTTGAGGTGTCACATTAGGCACTTTTCTTTGAGGTCAGGTTGAATGATTCGAAAAATCAGATGAGATGAGTTGAAGTCGGGGGGGGGGAAGAACTGACAACGAGCAATTCTGTGTAAAAAAACATGTTTTATTTAGGGAAAAAAAGAACAAAGTGCGTAATGAGAAATAATTCAGGAGGAAATGCCCCTTGTGCTGCACTGTTCTGGTGGTGGGGGGGCAGGGCAGAACCAAGCCCAGATACAGACCAACTCCACTCCAAGACATCTTAATATATAAAACGGAGACTTATACCTGCAATCTCTCAGCTCAAGCCCAGACTCGGGGAAATTTCTCTGGGCAGAGAAGTGAAAACCTTACAGTACTGCTCTGAAACAGCACCTCCGTTGTACACAGCTCCTACAGGGAACAGAGGTGCACAGTATTGTACTTATCCCAAATACAGCACCCTGGATCGCACTGCAAGACAGGGCTTGTCGTCACCTCCCAGGCTTCCTGGGAAACGTGCCCAGTGACTCAGGGCTGGGATCCGGTGGAGTGCGTCTGGTGCTTTTCAACATCGGGGGGGACCCAAGAGGGCAGGATCCTTCAGCACAAGCTAAACCATTGGCTGAAGGAAGCACATCTCCAGTCTTCCTCAGGAGACGCCGTTGGGTGAAGGCAGCGCATCTCC